TGATATTCGATTGCTTAGTGACTCATGATTCGGAACATATAACTCCATAAAAACACTACAGTAACATATACAGAGCTTTGCAGTAGAGCAAGCAGTACAAGAAAGCAACCACTAAAAATTATTTATAAAAGTAAACTTCCTTCCCCCTAAACGTTTAATATTGTCCTTAAACCCAACCCTTACGCAATATACACTTATTAAAATGATTACATTTCCCCCCCTTAAACAGTAATTTCCCTCGTCCACAAACTGCCTTGGATTCTACTGAGACTTCAACATAAGCAATTTCCTGCAGCTTCATTTTTCGAGGTGTTTTTAAAGTCACTTCAACGGCGTTCTCTGAAGTCACTTAATGTTTACTTTTAATAATCCAAAGCCTCACTATTTATCCTTAAATAAAATAAAGTCATTCTCGTATTCTACGAGTGGTACTCTAATATTATTTCGTATTGACAAGGAAATATTAATTTTTGTTTGAAATTTAATTACGTGCACGTGCCTTCAACATTTCGGTGTAATTTAACCTTCAGCTATGACATATCACATTATTAAGAGTGGTGGTATGGGTCAAAAGATACTCAGAGTTTATGAATCCATTAAATATACTGCGTGGATGAAACAGAGATGACTTACTCAAAACGAAAATTCTTAATTTGAGTGGTTGTTGTTATGTCAGTCAATGTGTGCAGCAGGTCGACTCAAGTATATTAATATAAGGAGTCTGAATAAATTAAAAGAAAACTTTATTAGTATAAATACATGAGTGTAATCTGTGATTGACAAGACAAAGTACCTAAATCTCCGATTAATTTGAAGCAAATTTTATATGTGTTCTTATTAAGTTTAATAAATTTGTACTTATTTTTAGAAGAGATTTTATTAAAATATAATTATCTGCGGGTTTATAGCTCAATTACTTCAAATTCATAAACTAATCTCGTAACTTACAGGCACAGAACTATTTTGTGGCTTGGTAGAAGGTATTTTTTCACACATTCAATAAGAAGAGGAGAAACAAAAGAAGTTATAATGAGATAATTTACAAAGGCTATCACAATCGAAATCGCTTATATGGACTTTTGACCTAAAACTTTGTTTGAAAGTAAAAAAAAATAATTTAAGAATTATTGCAAGAGGTCTGACAGAGCACTGTAGGTTCAACTATTACCACACAAAACTGAAAACTTACTCTAAGGAAACTTGTAGGTTTTGTAGGTAAAAAAGTGAGATTCCAAAAAAACTTGCTAGATTTTTATCCGGCACTTATGTCAGCATCAGCATCTTAAAGAAATAAAACTCTGTAATGTAGATTCAATACTACAATTTATACAGAAAATTTGAGTTGGAGAAATACTCAAAGTCATAAAGTCCATGAAAGGACACAACAGATCTTAACAGATGTTGAGAACTGCGAAGGGTAAATGGAACTTTTCCAGACAAACTAATAAAACTAAGCGCACAGGCCGGATTTAAGCAGCTGCGAGTGGTAACTTATACAATGTTTATTAATCAATTAATAATTAATATATAATATATCATATTTCGCATATTTAATTTTTTGAAAAGCTTTATATAAATTTTTAATTAAATATTTTATAGAAAGATTTCGAAAAGTACTGAACTGCAACAACAAAAATTTATTTTATATTATTTTAATTAATTGAATTTTTGGCTGACCATACAGCTATTTCGAGAATTGTCAAATACCCATCATCAGTGGTTTTGGAATTAGTTCTTGTATTTAATTATTTGTAAATAATTTTTTGAGACTGCAAGTAGAAGGATTTGAACTTGTGCCCTGCCAAATTTGCAGCTCAGAGTCAGCGTTGATAAACCAACTGAAGCAAAACTGTACTTGACTTACAAGTTCGCACATTTTTCTGAAGTTCTGTTAATTTTCTGTAAAAGTTTATCAACAAATTCACTTGCTGTGTTATATTAGAATGAAATCATAAATTTTTAATTAAATATTTTAATTGACATTTATTAACTTCATCTTTCATTGAATCATGACAAAATCACGTAGAAAATAATGCTTTACTTTTTGACAAAGAAAATCCGCTATGCAAAAATTAAAGGATATGAAAAATGTTTATAATTCGTTAAGGATACCAGACAGAATAATTTTGAGAAAAAAATAATTTGTACAAGGAACGAATAGGAGCATGAACTTTCAATCAAAAAAATCTAAATAAATCAACACAATAATAATAACAACAACAACAACAAAAACAAAAACAATATCAAAAACGTATAAAATGTCGAGAGAAAACGTTAACGACTTTTTGTAACCTCAACGGCAAAGTACAAGTAGTACACGAACAAAGCTGAATAAATTTACCAGTGAACTCATTGAACGGGGGTTCAAGTATCAAGCCACACACATGAGTACCAATACGTACGGCTCACTCTCAAACACAAACGCAGCTTACACACAAAGCGATTACTTAGTTCAATATTGAAAGGACTTTTTTCACTTGTGACGGCTCTTGTTTACAAATTTACTGGTTTTCATGAGCAACTGCGTGTGGAGCAGTTCTCCAGGGTTTGAGGGGAATAACATGCCTGCTTTGCTGTAACTTTAATATAAGTTAACGTTATTGTTACAGTGATTTTCTACTTTTAACTTATATACATGCGAATGCCGATACGGAGGAGTGATGACGCATATACCATAGGTGGCATACATTTACACCCAAAAAAAAACAGTTTAAAGTAAAAAAGTTATTAGTAAGAAGCTAAATTATAAAGGATTATGGATTATTAATAATGAAGAACATACTCCGATATTTCCAATCTTATTACTATACTTCAATTAAGTATACTTACTTTGTTAAGGCTACCCATTAAATTATCGGTTCATATTCTTCTTGACTCAATTTTATCATGCCCAGTAATCAGTTATTCCAAAAGAGTGGTAGCATTAATGCTTCTACTAAAGATGGAATTGCATTTTTTTTAGCCGTATATTGCGATCCAAAGATCAGCAATGATTTCGATGAACCTCACTCCTCAACAGGAAAGAAGTAAAATTCAAACTAATTACTCTAAAACGGTACTGGCAGAATTCTTTCCATTAATGCATTTATCCGCAAATTACATTTCTTATATGGCACATAGGGTTTAATAATTCACACTCCTATTCCAATATAAAAAGTGAGCATATCAGAGACGTACACAAAAGAGTTCTCTGACTTGTTATTAGATTCTATAATTTATAAAACTTTATGTGCTTGAAGAATTTCTTGACCACAAGTTCAACTTTATTATATATCGCTGCGGTTGTATTATTTTTGTAGTATTTATGGGTATTTATATGGGCCAATTGAATAGTGAATAAAATTAAACCCAAGTTCGATAATCTTCATTATTCTAGTATTTGCGACTGTGTATAATTTATTAAATGAATTTAAACACAGTAGTGCATTCAATCGTGATACTTCATGCGGGACATCCGATTTAGGCTGTCACAACAATAATCTTCGACAAATTCCACAATTTTATTTCAACAGATCGAGAACTCGTAGTGAATGGGATTATTAAAGCTACACCGTCAATATTTTCGCAAATAATTTAGCGTAAAAAACTATTTGATAGATAATAAAGATCTACTGGTACACTTTAAAGATCTTAGAGCCCCACTTTGATAAAAGTACTCGTATTCTAATCTTATAAAAGCTCTAATTATTAACATGTGTTTATAAATAGCAAAAGCAAAATTAAATAAATCTTTTACATTTTTCATCAATTAGTCTAATTAATTGTAGTAGTTCTCCTTCGTAATTAAAGTTATGCACATTTTTTTATTAGATAAAATTACTTAAGTAAGAGCAACAAAAGTTGTCGCATACTCTAGAGGAACTACAAAATAAACAAGGGAATATGAAAGGAAATCTTTTACTCGCTTACGACATACTCACATTGTGAAAAATCGTATGGTATTTAATTAAAAATACAAGGATATACATATCTTCATAAGCATGGATACACACATAGATATGAGCAGGTGCGTATATATTTTCCATATTTACATTTGAAAAATTAGAACGTAAAACCACAAAACCCTACAGGCCGATGAAATGAAAGTCTATTATTCACTGCAAAATCAAGACAAAAGAGGAACAGAACCGAAGTGCGGTGAAGCAAATATTTATTATAATAATGATAATGGTGACTTATATACATGTGGAATTACATATGCACAATATATACTACGTGAACATATGTTTTGGTTGACACACAAACTCATAATTGCAAATATAAAATGCTCTGCGAGCAAAATATTCCAGGCAACAATGAAAATATGAAAAACTGAACAAAATCCGCAACACGGGGAATGGCTGTACAAAAAGGATCCAAATTGAAATATTAAAAAAGTTCAAAAATAAACTAAAGTAATGGAAACCAAACGTCACCGACTTCTTGGCACCGGTTTTAATATTAATTTTACTAACTACCAACAAATCTTTCGTAAACATGAGCGTTCGCATGCTAAATATTTAAAATCTGTCGGTTTTTAATCCAATTTTTAGGTGCAATAAGTAAAATTAGGTGGTCAGATGGTTCACGAGCTAACAAATTAGATTCGATAGTCAGAAGAGTATTCTCCGGCAAGGAAAGAACTTTAATTGTAATGTGTGTACTTATATTTTGTCAGTTTATACTTGTCTAATACCGTTACTGAAGTTCATAATCTGAGATTCAACTTTTTTAATCGATTCCAAAGGTCAAGTATATTAAAAATTTAATATTGCTTAAATTGGCAATGGTAAATAATTTGCGACATTCACAATAATTGTATTTTCGGTGTATTTTTTTTTCTCATATTAACATTATATTTTAAACAACCTATATTGAAGAACCCACTCTTCAAATATGTTTAAATATTGAATAGTTTAAGGCACAAGAAATCACAAACAATTAGTCACAAAATGTTCAACTAATTTGGACATTTATAAAGTTTCGTTTTCGCAGTCAAATTTCGTACTTATTTTGGACATTTATAGAATTCGTTTATCTCCAAGAACAATTGTCCAAAAATTTTGTACTATTTTGGACAGCTATAAAATTCAT